AGTGCGCTTCTCACTTCGCCATTAATTGTCTGTATCGCAATGCGCTGAGCGTGTGATAAACCGCTAGTCGTTTTCGGCGCCTGGCGCCAATGGAAAACACTGCAAATAAATCGAACTTCGATCCGACCCTTCCTAAATGCAGCCCTCATTCTCTCCTACCGAACACCACAAGAAGTCGCGTATTGTCGTGCTCAAAGGAATGTGTCTAGATTGGGAGGACTTAGCTGGTGTTTGGAACCTAGTGTTCAAGACCTCTCCGACAACACAGACCTAAATGTAGAGTGGTCTTGCACACGTTGGGACTTACACACTCGATGGCTTCTGTGTGTCTGCTTGACCATCGCTCAGGGTCAGCTCCATAGGTCATTCCATCACGCTACTCAGGAGCCATTGCAATCTGTTGTGTGCAGCCTAAACTGATGTCTTCAAAATGAACACCATGCGAACCACTGCGTTCCACGAGTGTCAATCACTTTGAGCTATTAATGAGGTCATGTTAAAGTAGTGGTATAAAAGTGGCATTGTAACCATGAAAATGCATTGTTCTTCATGGCGAAGGAAAGGAGTGCAGCATCAACTCCACTCCCTGTTTAAGAGGCTTGCCTTATAAGTAAATGCTCTTCATTTGGTAAGTTGTCTGCACCTGATTGACTGATTGTTTGTTAAACATTTTATCCTTTTCATTCGTTAGCGTAGCTACATGTAGGCATAGGTAATGGCAAAATATAGAGAGGAAAGTTGTTACAGATGTCAATTCATTAGGAATGAAAGCATAAATGCGCGAAATAAGAGGAGAGTGCATTGGTGGGCGGTGGTGCATGCGCGTGCGTGGGTGCATGCGAGTGGGCTGAGAGTGGGCACTTGGAAAGGGGAAAGAGGCGACACTACTAGGAGGAGAGGAGTAGTGGATGGCAAGACTAGACGTATTGTGAGAGGCATGGCAAGAAGGAGATATAAAATCTTAGTGAGTGTGGATGTGTGGTGAATGCGTTGGTGTGAAGATGAGTAAGGAAAATATAGTCAACTGTTGCTGCTACCTTCTTCTTCTTCTTCTTCTTCCATTCTCTCTGCTTTTAAATGCAACTGTGCAGACCTGCTCTCCGATGTGATGGGCGTGTTAAAGTTTAGCATATTCCTGCCCCAAGCATAGTCGGCATTAGGACAGTGGCCTTCTGTGTTGAGAAATGCGACAAGTGCAACAAACGATCATCATCAGCATCATCAGCAGCAGGAGCAGCACTGCAAGGTACAGAATCCGATGGCGGTGAGAAGACGAGGTCCTAACCACCTTCACTTCCAAATCTTGACGTCAC